ATTTCTTAAGAGCATCTCCTTGCGCTGTATGCCCAGCACAGACATGCCACGCAGGTAGCTAAAACAGCACTGCCTGGTCCAGAATAAATTAATCCACTGGGCTCATTTGGGCTCAAGAGCCCCATGGGGGCAGGAGGGCACCTGGCCTGGCCAGCAAGAGTTGGTGTGTTGTTAACAACAGGTTTGCTGATTTTTGCAGAAGGACCTATCTGCCTTAAACTTGAAAAGGCACAAAGGGTGCCTGGGATTAACTCGAAGTTAAGGGTGACAGCATTTAAACTCCTGCTTGTAGAGGAGGTATTACAACATTGTCCTAATAATCTAGTGGTTCAAAGAGGTAATTGATGTTTAACTGCCTGGTGCAAGCAACATGCTTAATTAACATCAGTCTGCTATTAAATGGGATTACGAGCATTACCTACAGACAGGTGATGTGCACTTTTCCAGAATGTTTTCCATACTAAACTCATTTCACATCAACACTGGGAAATTCCTCTTTCCAGCATCACTAATGCAATTCACACAGCTGGTGCCAAAATATACGAAAGACTCACCCATAACTGTTGATGCTAAGCCACAACTTTTACTTTCTCTATCACATACCCGTTAGTAAAATATACTTTGAAGCCATATGACCATTTCTGCTCCCCACCCCCACATGCAGCAAAGGCGAGTTGGTTGAAAGGAAGAGAGAGAAAGGGTTTTGATGTAGACAAACTAATTTCATGAAAGTTAGTGGAGACTTTAGTATCTAAACATTTTCTGCTAAAAGATTTCTGAAATACTGCTTGTTTAAATGAGAGAATGAAGGTAGGGTCAAGTCCCTAAAAAATAAAAAAATATGAAGATAGGTAAAATTCATATGATTTCATAGTATAGAATAAAAGATCATTACTTGTATGTGACTGGATCTCCCAGTAGGCCTAGGTTCCCAAATCCAGAGGAAATTATTTTTAAAAAGTATGGTTAGACCAGTATCTGTCAGAAAAATTTCCAGCATCCTGTCTTGGAGTATGCGACATGGATTTTAACAGATGACATCTGCTCAGGGCCCATCCTGACATGTTTTTCTTAGCTGAATTTTTTTCTATATCATCTTTTTTATCTACACAACTTAGGTATTTTGGGGAAAACAATATATTTTTACATACATTGGTTTGAATTCAAGGATTTGGTTGTGTTCTTAACTTTTCTTGTCAAGCTCTATTATACCTACAGAAGACAGACAAACTAAAATGAATACTGGCAGATCCTAGAAGAACCCAACCACGTGTAAGACTCCAACAGCAAAGCTCAGTTTCAGAGCCACAGAATTTAAATGAGGGCACTGAGTAAAATATTTCCCTGTCTGAAGAGATTGTAACAAAATGAAAGGCAAATAAGGGAAACCATAATGCAAATACAAAGGATCTGTGTGAGGTTAGTGGCTGACCCAGAAAAAGAAAAGAAAAAAAAAAAGAAGAAAAAACCCCAAACTATTATTTGTATGCAAAGAGTAAGAAACTGACTCATTTCAGTTATAAAATAGAAAACCTCAGGACACATATGAGGAAAATAACTTGATAAATCAGATTAGTGCAGATTCTTGAAAACTGAGTGAAAATATCTGGGAAAAGTTGAGTGACTTGATTTGGAATAAAGAAGATAATCTAAAGGGTATTGCCTTTTTTTGTCTGCTAAGGCACCTGGAAGGCTCCTTGCCTGTCAAAAGCAGGTTACTGTTAATTTACCACACTGCAGTCTAGGGCATTAAAAGCACAATTAAGGAAACTGATCTATCGGAAAGAAAAATATTTGAAAACTATGGAGACTGGTCTACTAGATTATTGAAATGTTAAGCTGAGGATGAATGGTATTGCTAACTGGAATTGGGAAGTCATTTTACATAATACAATTTCCCATGTTTTAATTGATTGAAGAGGTGCTCACTATAATACTAGCTCTTTTATATATTCTGTAAGTGACTAAAACAATCCACCACTAAAATTTTCAAGATGAAAAGAAGCTATAAAACAGTGAAATATTACAACAGAACTTAAATTAAATAACTTTTATTATTTTTAATGACTGCCACAGCCATTCAGAGCTAGCAATAGCACTGAATCTGGAGGAAAGGATTATGTCCTCCTTATTAGCACCGTACAAGTATGTTGGAGCATATGGCCTCTTCTTTCATTGTCATCTTCTAATGCATTCATGTTATAACCCAGGTCAATTTTTAATTGTCAGGCCACTTGAAAATGCACCAAGTAATGGTGATCTGGCCGGCGACCTTAATTATAACTGCAGTGTTCATCTCAAAAGTTTCCTGTCACTGTCTGTTGTGCTAGATAGGAAGCAGCGAGAGAACCAAACACATGCTTCCTGTCAAACCAAACCTAAGGCAGGAAGGAGATGAAAGCACAAGTGCTAGGTTTCTGGGATCAAATCAGCCTTTGAGCCAGCCTGGTGACTCTTAGTGATACAGGATACTTGGTTACCACAATTATTACCAGTAAACCAAGCAAATTGTTATTATTATTAGGGCCACTCAAAACACTTATGTGTAAGTGTGGACTGAACTAGAGCAGTGCCTCCGATGCACTGAGCTCTTTTGAAAAATTCTGCTATGGAAAATTAAATGACAAGTTAGGGGATTTTGAATAGCATATGTGTTACTTCAGCAACAGTTTCACTGGCTACTCATTCCTTCCCAGCACTGGTGAGCTGGACTGAGAAACTGAACAAGCTTTAAAACATAGGGGGGAAAAAAAAGAAGGTTATTCAGTAGGCAGAATGCAAACCAGTTTCCTTCCTAGCTGCTCAAAGGATGATAAGGTCACAGTGCGAGGGCTGGTGTAAGCTGGGTGCATGCAGCAAGGACTGGAAAAAGCAGGTACTCTGAGTGCCCTGGGCAGCACCGTAGCTGAACCCACCATCGCAGCTTCAACTTTAACTGCTCTATTCTCTGTCCAGCTTCCAAGTTCAATCCCGGTGCAGGTTTGTGTGTTGCCTTCTTCCCTGAGAGGGAACCTGAAGGTGATCAGAGTAAACCAGCAGTTTTCTTCTAGTAGAGCACCACTGTATTCAGAATTAATGGTTGAAGGGTTGGTGTTATTTTTTAATTTTTAGCTATTTCAAACAATAGCCCAGCATCTGCAGCACAGCACCAGGATTAGCTTGTTGCTGCAGTATCAGTGAAGCATTTTTCTTTCATGTTCACTCAAGCTAGTACTAGATTTTTACTCCAGTCCTCTAAACATCTAGTAGAAAACTGAGACAAGGTATGAAAAACTAGCTGCTGATGTCAGTAAGGGATATAATCTAGATTTTATTTGAGTTTTGTTGGTGCCACAAAGTTGCTCAACTCTAGGATGATGATTATTTTGGTTGCTTCTTGGCAGATTCAGTGAAATAATAATGTAAGTTAGATTGCTTTCTCTACCCATTATAGCTGGCTATAGTGTCTTTTCTGTATGTGTAGTTGCAATACCTTTAATTAATCTATTAATTTCCTTTGGCACATTTGGTACTTGTTCAACAGATTAAGAGTTCTTTTCATGAAATTGCCTTTCTAGACAATTTAAAATCTACTAGATCTGTAGAGATCTGTCTCTTCCACAAGTCAGTTTTAGGGAGGTGGGGTTTTTTGTGATTCACTTTCCCCAGAAGAAAAAGAAATTCCTCCCTATCTTATGGAGAATGTATGCTAAACAGCAATGGTGTCCTATTTTCCCTTCCATACAAAACAGAACATACAGTGAGTGTACACAGGATCTCTGTTGACCCTGTCCAAACAGTAACATTTGGAGCACCTAGTCAAGTAGCATCTTCACTATCTACAGCAGCAGTAGACACAGACAGGCATTCATTGTATTATACAAATGAGTAAGCAGAAAGCAGGCTGGAATAGGTAGGTAAAGGGGTTGTTGCTCCAGCTGCCTAGCAGATTTCAAGCAATTGAGTCAGCAGTCCACCCGGTGCAGAGAACTTCATTATCACTTTTTCAGTCTATTTGAACTAGCAGTTCTGGTCTCACAGAAGGTATTCATGTAGCTTGTCTTTAGGCGGAAATTCTTAAAACCAGCTAGCTTCCTTTCTGCTAAAAATATAACGATTTCCTGGAATTTCCCAGTACTGTATGCAGTGAAGTTAGTTGTAGTTGCTGTACTTTGCACAAGCTACAAGTTGTTGTAGCTTGTGCAAAGGTGGTAGAGCACAACTATCTATAAGAGCATTCTTGTAGAAAAGCCAAAGGGTGGGGAAGACAGGGTATATCACCCCACTGCCTCAGCTCACAGGCTTTAATTACCCATTTATGCGTCATGTGGGAGTCTCTGAAGACTCCCTAAACAGCTTTCAGGTGGTTTTGAAGGTGGGGGTTGGCAAGAACAGGCCCTATTTGAGATTAAATTGCTTGCCTCCCTAGCTGTTTGCATGATCATGTTAATTATGTTAATGTCTAAGTATTGGGGCACACCTTAGGAGAAACTTCATACCAAACTACCTTTGTAAGAAACACATGCTGCCATCACAGCAACAGTTTGAGAAACAAAAAATTTAGTCTGTTTTGCCATTTGCTAGTGCCTGTAAAGAATTCCACTGTCATCTCAGGAGTAAGATGAGACACCTGGCAGTAACTATGCATGACAAACCTGAATTGATATGGAAAGAAATAATATCATCCCCCACTGTGTCCTGTTCTCTCATCACCATGCTTCTGTGCCACATTGCAGCAGCTAAACTAAGCAGGGACCTAACCCAGAACAAAACTCATCCAGATTTCCTCCTTTCCCTTCCACCAAAAAGAAGCAAATAAATAAAAATCAGCTGCATCAGCTAAACCTAAACAAGCACAGACACATGAATGAATGAACATACAGAGGAAAGGTAGGACTTGCCTCAGCTGCAGCTTCAGTTGTGTACGGCAACCTACAGTAAAAACATTTTAGGTCTTCATCATTAGGATTTTTTGGTGGTCTTTGTTTCAGAAAGACTTTAATTGTAGGAAAAGGAGGTATCATTTAGAAAAAAAACTTTATTTTTGCACACTCAATGTTAAAAGAATCTGGAATGCAAGTTGAGCTTGACAGAAAGCAGAAACCAGCAGTTCCATCAGTGACATTTAGACACTACTGCAGTACTTTTAAGTTTTTGAGAAACTTGAGTCATTTTGGATCCAAAAGCAAGACTCTTGATACAGTAAGAAGTGTAAAATTACAAGTCTAACTCATCAGGCACAAAACTGGTTTCCCTGAGAAGATGTAATTACAAACTAGTGTATAAACTTTACATCACATTACCAGGGGGGTTTAAGAGTACAAAAGCAAGATTTGGCTACACAAATTTAAACACAAGTCCTTAATACTCCATGCTGAAGATGAAATTTTCAGGAGGATTAAGAATTACATATTACAGAACTACAGCAATCAGATTTAAGTTAAACGATGACAGCTGGCTTTGGTATATTCTTGTTTGTATAGTTTTCAGATCAATTCTAATGTTATTTTCCTGAGATCATTCAGTACTCAGTATGAAGTCTGTGCAGTCCAGCTGCTTTTTTCCTTTTTTTTTTCTTCCTCCTCTTCGTCTTTCCCTTCCAGCTAGCATTACATTCATGGGAAAAAACTGAGGAATAACCATGAACAACATGCATTTTTCCAAGCCTTAAAACAAATAGTTTAGCCAAGGAAGCCCATTAATTACACCTTTTAGATAATAAATATTCCAAATAGTTGGCCTTCCAAAAATTTCTGTCTTTGATTTTGTACCCAAAGTTCCAAGCCTCAGTGTGCAACACAAGGCATCCCCATTTTCACTTGAGACATGTCTTCTTTCCCCCTCGTCCATGGACAACACAAGGAGGGTGTCATCACCACCACACCAACATGGTGAGAAACATAATACCCATCATCAGCATCAACACCATCGGTGTGTTGAAGTTGTATTTATGTTAAAGTACATAGCTGTATACAATTTGTACCTATGTTTCATAACAGGAGCATGCTGTATTTTAGTTCTTTTGCAGATACAAAGCTTTGTGTCGCAAATACTCTTCCAAACATTTCACTGCAAAAGGGTCAACATCAGTGTCAAACTTATTGGCAAAGAAGTGGTGGTTTCGTAGCATCCAGTTTAGGTCTCCTACTCCAAAAACACAGACAGAGCGAACGTGAACTCCACTGCATGGTGGGTAGGGTGCACCTTTGGACATGTCACCTTCAAAGTACTGCCACTTGACAAACCTGGCCAATGCATTCATGTCAGAAACATCATACTTGACACTGGAGGAAACTGCACCCGGGACTTCAGGGATTCTCTGAATTGTTGCCCACAGGTACTCATCTGGGCTGTAAGTGTCTTTTGCCCACTCAATGAACTTAAGTATTTTGCTGCTTTCTAATACGTATTCTACAAATCTTCTGCTAACTACAAAATAGGCACTACCAGAAAAAATTGGAGTACTGAGAGGCGGTAGTTGTTTGTCTGTGCCTGTGTTCTTTATTTTACCATCAATAATCTCATGGTGTTTTTTCCACCTTACTTCTTTATAAACAGGCATTTTTTCTGTTTCCAAGCTGTTTTCACCTTTAAGGGCTTTTAATTTCTCTACTATTTCCTGGTTGGTCTTTATAGGAAAGTCCATGCCACAGAGGTTTATTAGGTATTTCCAGTTTGAACTTCTTCTGTAGAGATCTTTCATGCAGTTAATGTCTGCCTGCACCCTGCTCCATGAAGCATATACAACACTCTCTAACTGGCTGGAAATAAAGACATTATCAAAACATGAGACTATTCCCTTCACAGCAGCAAAAAAAGATTCTGGAGACTTTTTGTCAACATGAATGCAGTAAAAATTCTGAGGGGCATAGATTGATCTTAGAAGTCTATCAAGCATCTCAATTTTGTGATAAACCACTATTGAGTAAGCAATTGGAAATTCTGCTTCTTCATTGCTGAGAGGTTCCATAATGTATTTCCTAGTCTTGGTGAAGGAGGCACAGTCCGCTGTCATGTTAATATAATCATTCGTTGTTAGTCTGGGGCGTTTCTTAAATGACACCGACAACGTCTCAAGCTTTACCCTTTGAATTTCTTCTATATCCCCCTCTATAATCTTGGTGCAGTTAACATTGGCAATAGGATGTTCTTTTGTCAGCTCTAGATGTCTCCGATTTAAGAAGTCCTGTTTCTGGTTAACTTTCAAAACTGAAATGATTACTAAAATAAGAGTTAGACCCAAGAAAAGCCTGAAGCATGAGTTGTGGCAAAACCGTAACTTCCTCTTCAGCATTTCAAATACCAGGTAGCTTTGCAGGGCTAAAAAAATTGCCCTCCACTCTGTTCATATTAGCTTCAACAACTTCAGAAAAACATTTTGTGTTTCTCAGGAATTTGGTGAGTTTGTCAGGGAGACGGAAGGAAAAATCCTAAAATAAAATGAAATATGACTGTCATTCAAAGACTAAAAGGTTTCTTTAAAAAATTACTGGTTAATAATTACATTGTTATTTATTGAAAGTAAAAAGATGAATAGTTCAGCCAAAAATACTCTGTTGAAAATTAGAAGTTAATGAATAAAATTAGTTTATTTTTCTAGAAAATGACTGGGAGAGGCAGATAGTTTTCGCGAAACGCTATTTTCATAGTACTACAACCAAAGTTCAGTAAGAAAACAGAGCTGATTCAGCTGCACCTGACAAAATCAAAGCCAGTAAGTCAGATAGGTTACTGAGAAGCAAGAATTTGATGTTAAGTTACACTTCAGAGTTTGACAAGAATGTTTTATACTCACTTCAGCAGTGACATAGATTTCATTATAATTATAACTTACCAGTCACTTCCTGGATGCTACTCATGCTTTATCTTCCTACTGTGAAAGCTGTCCCTGAAGCCTTTCAAGAATTTTTTGTGAGATACAGTCTCTTCAACATCCTGCAGATGAGCTTAGAAATACCATCAGGAAAGAGCTGATGAGAAGGGGAGAAAGAAATTAGTATAGCATAGCTCCTCAACTTTCAGAGTTGTGAGAACAGCTGTGACTGAATTGCTGAAGTACCTTTTTAAGGTAAAAGGCATTACTTATGGCCTATCTCTAAAGCTGATTTGTGTTAAGTCACTGCAAATGCACAAATCTAAGAGCACAGCAGTGTTGTGTTACCATTGTTTAAACACACTTGTTTTTATGATTCAGCAATTGCTTTTATGTGGAAATATGCTGCAAGGCTGAGTTGCAACAAGATTTATAATATGCCAATCTTATTTTCGTCTTTATTTTCACAGGCACTATTTATTTTGTTAGTCCTGTTTCCTCTTTAGCACCTTTTTTCTGTTTCAGTACCCTGTGAAGGGATCACTGCACAGTTACGTAGCTGCTATAGCTGTAGCTGTTGAGAAAACTGCAGTCTAGAACTGGATTTTTATTTTGTAAGTACTACCTCATGCAGGTAAACTGATCAACACAGGCACTGTATCATTTTTGTTTGTTAGTCCTGTTTCCTCTTTAGCACCTTTTTTCTGTTTCAGTACCCTGTGAAGGGATCACTGCACAGTTACGTAGCTGCTATAGCTGTAGCTGTTGAGAAAACTGCAGTCTAGAACTGCATTTTTATTTTGTAAGTACTACCTCATGCAGGTAAACTGATCAAGAACAGGATATCCTTGAACAACTTACATTGCCACTCAAATGCCATTTGTACTCACAAAATTGTTGCCTAATAATTCAGTGAAGGTTTGAATTTCAAACCAACCTCTAATTGTAAAAGCCAATACAGTTTATAGAGAATGTCTTCCAAAATTTTAATCTATAAGTTAAAAGGTTAGTGAAATATTGAAGTATTTGAGAGATATACAGCTCCTTTAATTTTTAGTACTTTCAAGAAAAATTTAGTGCCTCTGAATAACTTTCTGAACAGCTCTAAGAATAACTGCTACCCAAACAAACTGGTAAAAAAATTTGTTTGAGAAAAAGAAGTGTACGCTGTGTCCACCTGTGGGTTTTGCTGCAGGCTGTTCAGAGTAAGATTTTTCTTTTCTTCCCCTCTTTTCTTTAAGCTGCCTCAGTATCATTTTAGTTTTTAATTCTCAGACTGTGGCTTTTAAGCTGCTACTTGCAAATCTCAGAACAGGTGCATACAAGAAATTGAGGCCTGGCATCCCAGAGTTTTTTGGTAGTAATGCTGCCACCAGGATGCACTACACATTGGGTCCACCATTATGCCCACAGCATTGCAAACTGACTGGGGGAGTAGGTCCACGTGTAGTAGGTGGGGGGTAGGTGCGGAGCACTGCACAAATGTCTAGCACAGCTATAAGGATTAGCAGTATTTTAAGGAAGTACTACCAAATATTTTGTAATTCAAGCCACCAGCAGGCAGAGACCACAAAGTATTTGAGACTAACAGCATTATATAAACATGTTATTTACTATAAAGTGTACTTTGTTTTCAGAGTTACACCTGTAATTATTTTATCCTGCATTTCTAATTTATCTTAGGGAGGCAAACATTTGTTCCAAGTCTGTTTTAGGTGTATAGTGAAGTCAAACTGGAAGAAGTAAAATTTTAACCCTTAAGGTAAGTAGCCAGGTGAACTAGTGTGCAATTACAGCTGAAAGCATAGAGAGGTACTTTTTAAGTATCAGGTCTCACACTTTCAATTTGAATTTAAAAAAAATTAAAAAGGGAAATTCCCCAATTACCATGTTCAGTTTGCAATGTGGCATCAAACACAATGACATAATTTAGAGCAAGTTTTAACATGCTTTATAACTTATCACACACTTGCTTACTTGATGTCCTGCTAGTTTTGACTAGCAGATCTGATCCAATAAAAATAATATCCATCACATATGAAATTAACAAAGGAAGGATACTAGCTATGTGATAGTCTCCATAATCTCTATCGAGTCTATATTTCCATAGGATGAAGCTTGTGATACTGGTTACCCTTAAATTAGTGTTTTCTGCCTACCAACTTAGAAATGAAGACTTCTCTAGAACTTAAAATGTACTTCAAATACACTTATATTTGTGAAGCTTTGGCTGACAGAAGCTGGAATCCTTCTTTCTTTAGGATGAGAGTTAGCACTACTATTTTATCCTATTCTCATTTTTTATAGGAGCACTACCGTTGTGGAGTAACACACACTCCAAGAGGATTGCCACCCCCTCCCTGTTCTTTACAATGCAGGAAGACAGAGCCTTAATCGAAAGCTGCCTTTGTGGTCTTCACCTTCTACAATTTCCAAAGAATAAAGCTTGCCAAGAAGCCTTCCCTGCTCCTGTTTTAGAATAAAACTTAGTTGAAAGCAGGATAAAGAGTCTCTTTCAGAAAGGACTTGTATACCCAGCTGGGTGCAATTCCTCTATTGTTTTGAGCTCAGAATAATCAGACCTTGTATTTCCATTATACCAAAATGAGAGATCTGCAAACATTTACACATTAACATGGCTCTTATCTTTAGGTGGAGTTTTTTCCCCACAGTCGAATTTCTCTCACTGACGTGCTGCTTCCTCTGAACAGTCTTAACAATAAGTTACTATTTGTTTATGCTTGCAATTCTTTTTCTAAAAAGTCCTGAAACTTGATCATATCCCATTCTTTGCAAAAGCTGACCTTTACAGGATAAGGAAAGATTTGGTACCTTTCATCTAATAATATACCTGGTTTTTGTTTTACAAAGTTTTATGAGCCTAGAATACTCATTAACATAGCTTCAGACTGCATTCAGTAAAGCTTTTAAAATCTTTTTCTCAAGCTCTGCATAGTTTTAGTGTGCACACTAGAGAATGCGGTGTCAGAGGCAGCACTTTGCACGGTGGGAGAGCAGGAGGGAGGTTTGCACAGCCACAGATAGCAGACTTTATGCTACAGCCTTGGTCTTGCTCTCAACTGAAGTTCAGTTGCAGAAGTTATGTACTTGACCCGCTTCCTTCTTTTACTGCCTCCTCCTCAAGTCAGAGCCTGTATTTCTGATGCAGTAGTCATTAAAAGAAGAAACTTATAGCAGTTGCTGGTATTTGGAGGAGTTAGTACAAAGGTTGTGTTAGCTGCCCGCTTCCCTCTTTCCTGCCAAAATTATTCTTCACTGGTGTATATAAATTGTGCGGTATGACTAAACACAAAACCAAGGTAATTTCAACCTCATTTCTACTAGACGCTAGTGTTCTCCATGTAAACAGACCTTATGGAAAGAAGGATTACTATACCTAGTTTAAATCTCCATTTCTGGTACCTCTTCTGTGTCAGAGGGCAAATCACTTGGATCATCTGCCTCTTAGTTTATTCATCTGTGAAACAAGTACTCATTACCTGGCAGTTTGGGAAATGTCTTGGTAAAAGTCAGGTTCTGATTTAACTTTTATATTACTGTAAAGGTGCTACTGTAAAACAGCTGATTTCGTTAACAATGTCTTTACCTTGTTATTGTAGAAAGTTGTGTTAACCCTATATGCTAAATTACTCATCTGACCCATGGTACTGACTGAAACGAGTCAGCAATAGACTACATGGGTACTTACGCCAAAGGAGCTGAAGGGGAATAACCTTCATCAAAGAAAGGCTGCGGCCACAGACAGATGGAGCAGCACCCTCCGAGCCCAGCTCAGCATGTGATTTTAGCTAAGTTTGGCTTCACCCATCCTTAAAAACAAACAGAAAATCCCACAAGAAACCTAAGTCTTCAGAGAAAAAACCGAACAAAACACTTTTACAAGATTATACCACAGCTTGGAGGAGGACCAAAGTTCACGTGGAGGTTTTATACAGACCAGCTGGACTGGAGCTGCAGCACATAATGGCAGTGCTATTAGCAACACACCACAGGGCTGGTCCTAAGACAGAGGATGTCTGCGAGGGTGCAGAGCCGGCAGAGCGCTGCAACACCAGCCCTGATGAAGGGCGTGTACCTCAGCCCTGCAACACGGAAACCAGCCTTTGGCCACCAGCACAGCAACCTCTTCAGCTGCAGTTTCACAGTGCGACTGGTCCAATATCACGACGTGCTGCTGGTGGAAGGAGCAACCCTACTCCCATCTCTGCTGGCCACATGTCGGGCTGGGAGAGGTATGACAGCAGACCCAACCAGCCGGCCTCTGGGGAGCTCTCCGCAGTCAGCTCTCACGGCCGCCGGCAGGGCCCCAAGGGCACTAATAGGCCTTGACAGCTCCAGCCAGCCCACTCCAAGCTCCCCCATGGCCCCAGTTCAGCCTCCCGGGGCTGTCAGCCCCTGCCCCAGTGATGCCATAGCAGGGCCGGTCTCCAGCCCCCACAGCCTGGCCACGGGCCCTGACAAGCTAGGCCCAAGTCCCAGCCCAGCCTCGGCCTGTCCCCGTCCCCAGCAGGCGCCTGATGCCAGGGCTGCTCCCGTGCCCCCTGGCTGCCCTGCTCCTGGCTGGGGCGGTGGGACGGGCCTGGCTGGCAGTCCCTGCCCTGACAGACCTGCCATGGGGAGCCACCAGCGCTGCGGAGCCCTGGAAATCTCTGCTTACCACGCTGCAGTCCAGCAGACCTGGGCTCCAGGTTTTAGGCTCTTGTTTGGACCGATAAGGCTGAGAGTGAGAGATGTGTCTTTTCCTAAATGAGGTTAAAAGCAATGGCAGCCTCTAATCAGTGTTACACTAGGGTGGCACTGCTCTCTGGGGCTATTTATTTTGCCTGAGTAACAGCGTCAGGACTGGGAAAACAGGATTCCTGGTTCTCAGGCATCACAGGGCCTCCCTCATGCCAGCTCGCGTAAAACGCATCGCCCTCCTCTGTCCTGTCTGAAGTAGTTTAGAGAGCAGAGTGAAACCATAAACTAAGTAGATATTTTTTGTATTTAAGCAATTACCATACCTTTTTTACACTAAGCGTTTTTTTCCCTTGGAAAAAGCAGTTAGGGCGTGCTGTGAAATGGTACACAGACCCATCTCATGAGAAGATGAAAATCATTAGGGGCTGGTAGCACAACCACAAAAAAATCATG